TGATGTTAAAGTCCAAACGAATATATCATATGACTGTTACTAAGAAAATTCATCGTCTCCGTTGCTTTAAAACAAGCAACGGTCTTATATTTAAATGAATGTCGAGAAAATTCTCCATTCGGATGAGTTTTCACGAGATACAAATTCCTTCCTTTGGACGAGTTTTCCTGGGAGAGAGCAACGTGTGATTGAGCATAGTAGAGAGGAGTGGCGATTTCTCAAGATATTAACGCTCGTACTTTGGTACAATTTCGCATCAAACGTAGGCACTCACTGTCGTTCGCCTTTCCAATTTGTTCCAGCTTTCGTAGTTACCACAATATAAGCTTAAGGACATCAGTGAAAACTACAACAACTACTTACTATTTTCATATTTCTATATTTGCAAAGCTACGGTACTATTGAAAGGTTACGATAGCGGTTATGTTGTTTAGGAGAAATGAAGACGCGTATAGTTGAAGCGAATTAAATAGTTCAGAGGCATTACGAGATATGTAATTGAAATATCTTTCCGAAGAAAAAAACACCTCTCATTATTGTCTGAATGGGAATTTCAAAAAAATGAGAACTACCCATTGTTGGCTTCTTTGTGATAATCTCCTAATACAATTAACATGTAAATGAAGAGCGCCATGTTGATTATTTCCCATGTCGGTCGGTAACCTTGAGCTTTTTTCTCAGACTGTTTACGCAAATTTCGCTTCAATTAAGAATTGCAGTCCGACAGCTAGTAGTTCATTCTTAAGAAGTATTCAGTTATAGCATTCTAAATAACATACTTAAGAAGTAATTCTCTATTATTTGTGATACTTGCACTAAATAGTGTAGTAAATGACACACTTATACAGTAATTTGCTGTTCTCTACAATAAAAGCATAAAGGATAAAGCTCTCGGTGTTGACCAATCCCTGATTGATGCGCCATGCATTTGACCTCATTAAGCATCGTTGGAGGTGATTGAATGCATATCTGGCTTTTACAATGACTGGTGGTGGCCTACCAATGTATCGAATCAGTGCTACTATCCTCCCAGACGGATATGGTCCCAATTTGCCGACCTCGGAGGGATGTAGGTGCGCCTGGGGCTCGAGGATTGATCCTATATTGCGTACAATAGTCATACTAAGCTTATCGGTGTATCCAGCCAATGCTGCTATCCCTTCGGACAAGTCTGGTATCAACTTGGCAGCCCCAGAGAGATGAAAGGCTTGGTGGGCCTGGAGCGCGAGGATCGATCCCATATTGCGTATTGCAGGGCGCTTTCGACCACTCCGCTACACTAATTCTTTACAATAATCTACAGTGCAAATGTTTCATCCCATACCGGACAGAGACATGATATTCAATGTGATCCTACATGCAACAACGCTCATTTCGTAAAACTTCAGTCCATCAGAAATTGAGACATTAAGTTCCAGTTTTACCTTTAAAAAAAAGCCTATGGAACGTAAAACGTTTTGTGAATGAGGCCATTCTACAGTTGTCGTGCAATATTTTTGTACTACGATGATCCAGCGGACCAAATTGACAACACCGAAACGAGTACACATTGGTGTTATTGTAGGCAAGAAACTAAATAAAATCGAACTATCTTCCTCTGATAGTAGAAGAAGGAGAAGAAGAAGAAGCAATGCGTAAGATGAAGCTAACTAATAGATACGCGCGGGATAATGTCATGCAGCAAGTACAGCCATCAATTTAGTTAAATTGCTTTCTGACATTGGCGAATAATTTTCAATGCATAGTTGTTCATTGGTTTTCAAACGTTGTTCTCTGCATTGCTTCATTTGTATACTATCTCCGACTACAGTAGTAGTCACAGTAATTCCAAAGAATCCTTATTTACCACCTTATTCTTTAGTTATTCTCCCAAGAGATCGTTCTTATAACTACTTCTTACTTGGAAGCTGTAATAACAAGCCTTCAGTGAGTGTAGACAAAAAATATGAATGTTATATCGAGAATGATGCTGAGATATCTGCAAAATTCCGCTTCGCGGGTATTGGAGAACGAGCGCGCTACTACCTTTTCCGGGTGCTAACGCGTTCACCACTACACCATGCGGGTCCTTCGTTTCCTCTGTCTCTCAGCTAGTGTTCTGTTTTACCAAAAAATGTAATAGGCAGCAAATAAAAAGTTAACTCGTATGAAATGCTGAGATATTTGCAAAACTCCGGACCACAGGTGTATGCAGTGGAGAACGAACACGCGCTGTTGTCCTTACCGGGGAGCAGCGCACTTCACCACTACACCATCCGGGTATTTCGCAACATAACCTGCCATTAAGAAGAAAAAAGGCAGTAAATAAAAGAGTTAAGATTAAAAAGTTAACGTTATGTTGATACTTAGAGTGAAAGATTCGTGTGTGATTCCTAAGATAAAATCCACTTGGCTGCCATTTTAATGACTCGCTATGTTCTTTCCTCTCTAGAGTGCGAAAGATCCTATGGGGTTTCCAGGTTCCAACCCACCATCGTAAGTAGTGGCGCTGGCCAATGTGCATCGAATGTAGGAGGTTTTTCAAACTGTCGGCAATCCTAGGTGTTTGTCATCTTTTAGTATAATTTCCGGATATAATTGGATCTATTAGTATTCTACATGTTCATTTCTGAGAACTTTTTTTTGCGACAAAATGAAGACGGATTGAGAAGGATTGAATTACTGGCTAGAAGAATACCCAATTTCCTAAGTGCTTCTCACGAGCGCTGCATATGAGAGAAACTGCTAGGTTCATTTAAATCTTCACAATATAAGTGAATTGAATAAATTCAAAGACAGAACCAGAACGAGAGAAAATTCATCACTCAAAACTCTTAGTGCATTAAAGAAAGGAAACTGCATAATATGACAGAAAATATCATATCTTTTTCGTTCTAGGGTCAGATAGTGCAGTGGTAGTGACTGCGTTCATTACAAGAACGGCGCTGGTTCGACCACGCACCAGACTCACCAAGCCCTCCATCGTTCGAAGGTCAAGGAGTTGGTAGCAGACCAGCATGGTCCCGAGTCATTTTCTCAGATACACGCGGGAACACTCTAGCTTGCCTATCCCAGGGAGAATCGACTAGTCTAACATTCAACGACATGCATGAGAAAAAAAACAATCTTCAAGCAACTGTCGGACAAACACGCGAGAGTTAGAGAACCTTCTTGGATAATGGATGCGAGAAAATGAATGGAATGCTGCAGATTTGCTGGGATACGCCTAGCAGGTGTGAAAATAAGTCCTGGAAAATAAAATAAAACGGGATAATAAAACGATTGTTCATTGCCCGTGTCTTCTGAGGTCAACTTGAGTAATCGCTGAAGATTTCTGAAGCAAGGAAATTGTATAGTCTTCAAAAAATACGCAATTGTATAGAAAAGGGCGTGGGCGGGTAAGGGCAGATTTTATGAGTGGAAGACAGACACGCTTAGATGATGTTTCACATCAACGCCACAACGAACAGAATAGAAGGCCTTCAAAAACGTCGACAGTGACTGACATTTCGCACATTCAAGACACATTGACTAAAGCAAAAACGTTTGTGAGCCATGTATGGCCCATATTGCTACCAATATTTTGAGTATGAACCGATGCCTATGCTTTTCACTAGCAAAGATCATCGTGAACGTCAAATTCAGAATGGTTCAGCTGCTAGGGATTTCTCGACACTCGTAAATCTAATATCGATTAGGCCGTCGCACAATTCACTAGCGAAAATGGTGGTAAATGTTCTATTTGACTGAAAACCGACTTATTGCAATGACATCATCTCACAGGGATCTAACCAACTGGCTGAGTTTCAGTTCCCAGCAGACTTGGTTTGGGCTTGTCACAGTTGGCGATGTCCAATCAAATTTTTTGAGATGAATAAAAAATCGAAACAAATACACTGATTATTCACATGTAGCCTAGGTTAAACTCGGTTTACAAGACTAATTCGTTTTATTTCCTTGTTTATGTGGTCTGATTTCCTTAGTTTCGCATTCCTACACTTCCTCATCTGATTTGATATCTACCAATCGTCATCCAGAATGTATTCCAATTTGCTAGTGATTTCAGCTTCCACATAAAGGGTTGAGACGTCTTGTTCATGGATGTCATTGAATTCTAGTGCAGTAGAATATTCCTGTGATCCTGGTATATCTCTATTAGTGCACTTCAATTATTTAATCACAGACGGGGACGAGGGACACGGGCATTTGTGGATCGGAAGGAGCCTTTCTCAGCCAAGTCTGGTACGAATTTCATGACTCCGAAGGAGTGGAAGCCCTGTTTAGGTAAAAGAGAAGCTTGAACTAGAGACCCTGTGCGCAGCATTCCTTGAACCCCTACAGTTCTCACTTGCCTTTCAAGTTAAGTGCGATTTCTAATCATAGATTTAATTTTAAAATTTCTATTCTTCACTTATTTATAAATCAGTTGTTTTCTTCTTCAACCGCTTTCGTAATTGCTCCATAATTTAATAACACATTAAGTGATGTAGGTCGACCACCAAATGTACAAAATTTCATAATGGGTTTAATCACCTGTAGCACTTATAGTCCCGTTGATCGTCGAGTGACTCGAGCGGGCGCCAGTAAATCTTCCATTTTTCTCTGTCGCGTGCAAGAGCAACCCAGTGGGTTCTGCTCGCTCTATGAATTCGTCGAGCATCATACCCTTCTTCTAGGCTCTTCGTGAAGAACTCTGACCATGGGTCGGTGGTCTTCCTGCAGTACGTTTGACATCCCGAGGAACCCAGTCATTAGCGGCTTTTGTCCATCGGTTGTCATTCATATGCATTACGTGTCCAGCCCACATTATCATCGACTGTTTGGCCTACAGAACGGCATCTTTGATTTTTGATCGTTGACTCAGGTCGGAGCTACGGATCCAATCCCTTACTTGTGTGAAACGGGATACTCTTAGCATCGTCCTTTCGACTGCGCGTTCGATAACGCTGAGTGATTTTTCATCCTGTTTACGCACCGACCAGGTTTCTGACGCATACGTTAGGGCAGTAAATACCGTTGAGTCAAAAAGGTGTCGAAAAGGTATAGAGTCCGATGTTCTTTGTTCTCCACACTACACCTTCGATGCTCTTGAAAGCACTCCATGCCGCTCGTTTCCTTCTGCTCAGCTCTGGAGCTAAGTTGTTCATCACATTGGTTTCCCGACCTAGATAGATATAACTGGAGAATTCGGAGATATTCGTTCCGTTGAGCGTGAATGGCGCATGCGAAACCAATCCGTTCTTCATGAAAATCGTTTTTGCGAAATTTAGTCGGAGACCAATCTTTCCACAGGCTTTATCAAAGTCGTCAAGCATACGTTCCGCTTGGCTAATGTTTGGTGTTATAAGGACGATGTCGTCATCAAAGCGAAGATAGTGTAACTGCCGATCATCGATTTTCACTCCTAAACTATCCCATTCCAATGTTCGCATGACGTTCTGGAAGATGGCGGCAAATAATTTTGGCGAGATGATGTCGCCTTGCCTAACACCTCTTTTGACCTCAATGTTAATATGAATGGTGATATCTTGGCTGTGAAATTTCTGTACAGCTCACGAAGAATCTTTATGTACTGAGTAGGCCATAGCTGCTTCTATCTCAACTGAAACAAAGGCCTTCTGTAAATCGATGAAAGTGAGATACTTCAATGAGCCTTGTTATCGTGAGGATGTGGTTCATCGTACTAAATCCTCTTCGAAACCCTGCTTGCTCACATGGCTGTCCTTCGTATAGTGTTCTGTCAATGCTGTTTAGGATGAGTCGAGTGAAAAGTTTGTAGGCGACAGACAGTAAGCAGATTGGGCAATAGTTGCCGATATTGTGTAGGCCATCCTTCTTGAACAATAACACGGTCTTGCTGGTCTTCCACTGACTAGGGACATTGCATTCAGACAGGTAAGGTATGGAGAGTCGAGCCAGTGTGTTTACGAGGACTAGCGGAAGATTCTTCAAGTGTTCTGGTCTTATCCTGTCCGGATTTGGTGCTGTTCGATTTTTCACTGCCGAAATGGCATTTCGGATTTCGGAAGGGAGAACCGGTGGTGCAATATATACATCCTCCTTTATTTCATGTGACGGAAGGTGGACGTGGCTATCGAAGAGATCCGAGTAGTATTTGTGAATGATTTTCTCCATTGCCTTTCTGGACGCTGTAACTGTTCCATCTGGGCGTCGGAGGGCAATCACCTTGGTCATGTAATTCGGGCTTCGGCGGGCTTTGCGAATGCTTTCCCAGCCTCTGCAGCTTCTACCGCTACTGCTGCTCTTCTCTCTTCAAGATCTTCTTTTCTCGCTTGTATGCATTGTTTTGCAAGTTCGGACGCCTTCTTCGCAGTTGCCTGCAGCTCGTGCGATTCCATGCTGGCGTATCAGCTCGAATGTTCCTGGAGACAGACGTCTCTTGGTGACTTTCGAACCCTCAGTTTTCATAGTGCTAACGTGAAGATGTTGAATGAGCCCATCGTATTCTTCGTCGATGTTATCGACAACGGCATCTTCCCAACATCCGACTAACGAATTTAATAAGTTTTAGTTTACGGTGGTTCTGGGACTTCGGTTTTGGAATTTAGCGGCTTTTTATCCCTTCCGCGAGAAATAGAATCTTGCACGAAGGAGACGATGGTCTGATCCCGTGTAGAATTGTGGGACAACAACGACTTCTGTTAGGCAAAATCTTTTATTTACTATGGTGTGGTCTATTTCGTTATGGCACTCTCCATTGGTGCAATATATATTTTGGGACTCCATTGGGAGACTCCCACGTCCAGTGTTGAGAACGGGCTTCTGGAATTGCGAGTTACCACGGTCTTGGTCGCCATGATAAACTCAGACAACCGCTCACCCTGTTCGTTCCATTCCAATCCGCGGGTTCCAATGTGGCCTTCAGACGCTTTTCTTGGTCTAGTTTTAGCGTTGAAATCTCCAATGATGACCTTGAAGAATGTAAGCTTTTCTGTAGAACTTCTCCAAGCGCGTACAGAACGCTTCGACTTCTTCTTCGTCATAGCTTGATGTCGGCACGTAAACGACGAAGATTGTCAAAGCCAGAATTGATCCACATCTTTTAATGGTAAACGTCCGATTCGGGTTGCAGGCTTTTCGAATGAATCGATATTTTAATGGGTTTAATAGCGCACCAAAATGGAGTGCTACGCCATCAACAAATTTATGGCACTGAAAAGAACGGAGTGCACAAAACATCTCTTATTAGACGAAAAAAAATGTTTACAATTTTGGGGGTTTTGGACAACTGAAACAAAAACCCCAATTTATATATTGATAAAAAAATGAGCACTTTTTTCCGACTAAAAAAAAAAAGAAATTTTTCGTGCACGTATAGTGCTCAACGAAGTGCATGTGGCGCAGTGGTCGGAGGCACACTGCAACAACACACATGGGATCGATCTTCGTGCCCCTGGCCCACCAAGCTTCCCATCCCTTCGGGATCGGCATATTGGTGTTGGTATCAGACTTGTCTGGGAGGATAGCAGCACTGGCTCGATAAATCGGTGGGCTACCGCGAGATTGATCAACGCCGAGAGCTTGGTCCTTTATCCTTTTTACGGTGTTCAAAAGAATAAAATTGATAGGCAAAACAATGAAAAAGACGAACAAAGGTTGACATGAAAATTAGGATTATGTGTTCAGATATACGAACGATGACACTAAAGGCTAGTAAAAATAGAGGGCATTTCTAGGAAAACACTATATTATCTACTACATGACCAATCATCACTTACTGTACAGATCTCCAGCAGTCCTTTCATTCTATTGGTTTCCTCGAATCATTCCTTTACTGTCTATTTCCAGAATTTCCCTAAGGTTTTGGGCCGTTGACTGGTCCAGATGCGAAGTCGAAACAGGGCCTTACGGGTATTGAACAACATCTTTGCTATCGCGTCATCCACGCAACTGATTTGATAATAAGTAGATGAAAGGGTGAAAAAGCTTAAAATATTTCTGGTGCACCGTAAAGAAGAAACGATGAATTGAATTACATCAGCACTTATTCAATAAACGTGTAGCCTCGTTTTCTGTCCGACTTATTGACACCATAGCAGTGTTGATCCTCAAAAAACCCTTTTTAGCGACTCTAAGAGAAACAGTGCTAAATTGGAACGCTCCAGTTGGTACCTCATGAAGGTGAAAGTGCACGGGAATTTTCGCCTAGGTACAATTTAGAAGCGGGTACAGTACCCCATCCTTCCCATTCAACACAACTGTATGTTTATTATTTACCTATTATTTATTTACGTAACCCAATACTACACGTTGCAGTAGTTCTTTCATTCCCGAATATTTTCAGAATTTCGTATAGGTGCTGCTGCTTGTTGAGGAATTAGATTGTTTCATAAATGCCGTTGAGTGCTGATCGGGCAGATTCGCCTTGCAATCCTAGGAGGAAAGCCGTGCAAGAACGTTCTCATCACACGAAATACCCAGCATCTGTGAATTCAAGACCTTTAACAACGCAAGACGTACTAATCTGCTGACTCCGAAGGAAGTGATTAACCAAGGACTCAAGTGAGAGGTTTGCCTAGCTCGGTGAGGAACCGAACAAACGACTCGCCCTTTACTAATGCTAGACATCGTTAGCCTCTGTATTTCCCGTTTTATATTATGATAATTAAATTCGTTTGGTTTTTTTTCTGCTTCTGCATAATAACAAATGAAGTGCAGGAACGGATGGTAGTGATGTCCGTCATCAGAGACGCGGTGTAAGCTCGATTCCGTTCCGGGCCAACCAAGCACCTCATCCCCTCAGGGTTGGGAAGTTGGTACCGGATTTTCCTGAGAAAAATCACTTTCTGCAATTCAGTTGAGAACGCTCCGGCCTGGTTATCTCAGGACTCCAGGGAGAACCATCTCGATCAGGATTCTGCGGCATTCAAGATGAAGTGGAGAACCTCAATTGAAGAAGAACCATCCTAAGCCACAATTAGAAGTTGGAAGACCTCCGTGGATGATGAATGCGAGGAAACGAATCGAATGTGAGAAGTGCTGGGATCCGCACAGTATACGTGAGGACTGGTCATATAAAATGAAAAAAATAATTGAGTCGGAGAAAAACGAAACTACTTGATAATTAGATGTTAGGCAATATTAACTTCCCACACTCTCATGAAAATCTGCATTCTAAGGGTGAAGTTGGATAAACGCATCAATTAGCTGGCTTGAACTATACGGGATGACGAACGTAAAAAATTGCTGCTCTTGTCCTGCCTCATTATAGTTTTCTAAGTGTGTAGTTACGTTCAGTCCTTGTAAAGTCACTTCACCTCCATCCATTTTCCTCTTTGCGTTTTTCAGCCAACATTAACAATATAAACAAGGGTTCCAGTGGTTCTCAACAGATATACCCTCTGTCCAATATGCCCAGAAGGCTCTAGTCATAATCTGTCTACTTTTCTGGCAAAGACCTGTAAAATCTAATGCTTTTATTTCAAATGCCTCCAGAGATTTTTCGGCTTACGTTGCCAGAAGGTTTCCGGTGCCCGTGAGGAATCTAGGGCGACATATCCACTCAACAATAGTGCCACACAAGCTGAAAAGGCATTTCTCAACCAACTAATTGATGCAATTATGAGTAAACTCGTGTTATGGCAGAGCCTAATGGTGGTTACCTTCGTGACAAAAACAGTCCAAACAAAGGGCCTCAGTGCTTACTTTGATGGACTTCGTATTCTTCGAATGGGTGTGGTCCAGTGAGCAACAGCGAAGACCAAAACAGACGAGTGGAACGTTTCACTTTGTGGTTTTTCCTTTAAGTTACTCGGTGGAAAACGCCATTCAAGCGTAGTAGCAGTAGTTCTTTACAATTCTTCTCTATGAGAGGCAAAAATTGAAGAACGAACATTCAGTTCCTTCATTCGGAAAATTATTACCTATACAAATGGTTGTTATTTAGCCAAAAATATCTACTAATGACTATCATTTAAATAATAGTAAACCATGTAGTTATTTAGGGGCACGTTTCTTGCTTGACAGTGTACTATATGACGAATTCAGATTTATCTTATTATTATGGGCGCAATGATTTTTGCGTCACTGTGAGGACTTTCGTAGGTGTCGAATTTTGAGGGTGAAACCAGGGGTTACCACTCTACCACGGCCATTCAAGCTTTTGGTGTCCACGATGGGAACCGAACGCGTTATTACCCTTTCTGGGGGCTGACGTGTTCACCATTACACCATGTGGACCCTGCATTTCGCTTGTCTCTCAGCTGGTTCTATCGATCAGCAATCACCCGTTAACGGGATTAATCTGGGGAGCCCACATCGGCATTGAACCCAGTTAAGCTGAGGCTGTAGTTGAAATCACAATGTTTTACTTTCCACTTTTTGCCTTCTACAATTTTCACAGCAGAGTATTATCTGGAAAAATTAATATTGTGATTTCCCGTATATAATGCTGAGATATTTGCAAAAATCC